ACAAGGGTGATGTTAGGGAACTCAATGGGGAGGCCGAGCTGGGTGAGGTTGCAACACATGTCATACGAAAGGGCGTTATTCGGACCTGCCGTCAACAAACGCACGCAGGCCTGGTATGTCTTGATGAGCGGAATAGAGGGCGCATGCACCTGCGACATAAAATACAGCAGCGATACACAGTAAGCCTTAAACAACACAATCGACTGGGCAAGACCCAAACCTAGGTCCCTGATCTCCCTCGTCCTCTTCCGAAGCTTGATGATGTTTTCCTCCCAGGTAACCTTCTCCGCCCCCATCCCAATCCAGACACCTAGGTATTTCAAAGAGACCGCGATCTCTAGGAGCTCCAGCTGGTGGCCAAGGTCCGAGAGGAGGTCCTGGAGGGGCTCCTTGAGGTTGGGGTAGGCGAGGAGGACCTGACACTTGGGGAGGTTGAGGGCAAGGCCAATTGAAGGCTGTAGGCTCCGTAGGCACTCAAATAGGGGGCCAATCCCATCAAACAGGCACCGTAGGCCAAAACAGAAATCGTCGGCATACGCAAGGGAGAGCTCAATGTGATCGGGCAGGCGCGAGGCCAGCCAGGGGGCAGGGGCACAATTTGAGCTTCTTTCCGTTGTAAAAAACAAGGTGCGAGCGCCGGGAGGGGCATTTCAAGTGAAAAATAAATGAGCACTGGAGGGGGGGGATCAACAATAATTATTCTTCAGTCGCGAGAATTCAACAATCATTCTAAAACTTTTCGCTGTGACTTGCCCGCGTGTCATTCAGAACGAATTCCCCACACCCTCGATACCCGCCCTTTCTGTCTTCGATCACACCCCCGATTCTTTCTCTGTGCGAGGGGCGGCGGGCTTAGACAGGCGGGTAAATCTGAACGGGCGGACAGTCCTTCGTGGGCGTCCATGTGCCCGCCAAAGGAATTGGTGTGGGCCCTGCAAAAAGAGGAGGGGGAGAACGAGGGAGAGTGGGAGGAAGGGAGGGGAAGGGACGAAGGAAGAGGGATAACGCCAGGAGAGAAGGAGCGAAGAGGGGGGCGGTTGATTAGAGGCAGAGAGAACGAGAGAGAGAGAGAGAAACATACAAGAAAGGTAGAGACAGAAAGAGAAAGAGAGAGAGAGAGAGAGGGAGAGGAGAGAGAGGGAGAGAGAGAGAGAGAGAGAAAGAGACAAAAAAAAGAGGGAGGGAGGAGGCAGGAGAGGGGAGGGAGAAGGGAGGAGGGAGAGGAGGGAGAGGGGATAGGGCAGAGAGGCAAAAGGATGAGGGAAGAGAGAAGGAGAGAGAAGGGAGGAGAGGAGGGAGGAGGGAGAGGGAGAAGGAGCAGGAATGTAAAGCGGGATGCCTGAGTATGGCGAGAGTGCGATTACTAAGTCAATTGTAGCGGCGTCCTTGGCGCAGCGTGTTTCCTGAGCGTCGAAAGCGCGATTTCTGAATAATTCGTAGGAAGTCACACGCGAGAGCGCAATTCCTGAATAACATGTCAAGGGCTCTCTGGCGGGAGCGGGGGTCTTGAGTAAATGGTGAGGAAGTTTCAGGAGCGGGGGTCCTGAGTCAATTTGGTGGAAGTCTCAGGCGGGAGCGTTGTTGTTGTTGTAATCCGGGGGGCCAGGGGCCCAGCTTGAGCACCAAGACGTCCCCTGTCAAAAAACAGGGTGCGAGCGTCGAGGGGCACACTTTGATGGAGAAAAAACAGTATGCACCGGTGCGGGGGGATCAACAATAATCATTCTTCAGAAGTGGGAGTTCAACAAAAACAACAACTAGTATAACAACACCGTGGACAGCAGCAACAGCAACAGCAACAGCAACAACGACGACAACCACGGCGGCAACAGCAGCATCAACAACAACAACGACATTATTCGTCATAAGTGAGAACTCAACAGCGGCTCCCGCTGGACACTTACTTCCTCACAGTGTAGTCCCAGATCGCGCTCTCGCGCGGGACGTCCGCACGATGTATGCGGAAAAATCGCGCTCTCGCGTGGGAGCTCCTCGCGATCTATTCAGACGCCTCCCCCTCGACACTCAGGAATCACGCTCTCGCTTTGGCCTGCGCAATGTTTGAATTGAAACTCGCGCTATCGCTCGAGATTCGTGGTTCAGTGAGGACGCACGCATCAGCAAGCCGCCTGCTCGACCTGGCCGCCTGGGCCCGCCTTCCCGACCCGCCTGTTCGGGTCTACCCGCCCGATCTGCCCGTCTGGTTCTGCCGCGTGCTTTCTGGTCCTGCTACTCTCTCTCTCTTGTGCTCCGTCCTCCTCCCTGCCCCTTGTCTCTTTCTTCCGTCCGTCCTCCCTTCCCCTGCCGTGGGGGCTGACCATAATATACGTTGCAGGTAAGAAAGGCATGACCCCAAGGGGGCACGATCAAAGACGAAGAAGGCGGGTGTCGAGAGTTTGGGATATACGTGTTGACTGGCGCGCACGCAAATACGAGCGAACAGTCTTAACATGCTTGCTGTTGTTATTGTTGCTGGTGTTGATGTTGATGTTGATGCTGATGTTGTTCATGATGATGATGATGAGGATGCTGATGGTGCTGATGATGATGATTCTGCTGATGATGACTATGACTAGGATATTGATGCTGATGGTGGTGACGATGATACTGGTGGTGATGATGGTGATGCCGACGATAGCGTTGCTTATGTTGGTTGGTGCTGGTCACGATGATGCTGCTGCTGATGCTGCCGATGATTATGATGCTGATGCTGATGCTGGTGATGCTGATGCTGATGATGTTTATGATGATGCTGATGTTGCTGATGATGCTGTTGCGGATGATGGTGATGCTGTGCTGCTGCTGTTGCTGATGATGATGACGCTGATGATGCTACTTATGTTGATGATGATGATGCTGATGATGATGCTGATGATGATGATGATGCTGATAATGATGAGGATGATGATGATGATGATGATGATGATGATGATGATGGTCGTAAAAATGATGGTGATGATGATACGTGTGCTAATATTCTCTGTATCGTTCCAATTTTAACGGATGATCCCCGAAGGGAATCCATGATGATGCTGATAAATATGACGATGATTAGTATGATTATGATGACGATGATGATGCTGATGCTGATGCTGATGCTGATGATGATGATGATGGTGATGATGATGGTGATGCTGATGATGATGATGATGATGATGATGATGATGATGATGATGATGATGATGATCATGATGATGCTGATGGGGAGGGGAAGGAGGAGGATGAGGATGAGGAGGGGGAGGAAGAGGAGGACGAGGAGGGGGAGAAGGAGGAGGAGGAAGAGCAGGAGGAGGAGGCGGCGGAGAAGGAGGAGGAAGAGGATGATGATGAGGAACAGGAGGTTGGGAGGCGGAGGGGCAAGTGGGGAGGAGGAGGAGGAGAAGGAATAATAATACGGATAATACCAGGACAAACAATAAGAACACATAAACATAACAATCCGGAACTAAAAAAACAAATCATACCAAGAAAAAAATAGTACGAATAGTAGTACTGACAACACTAGTAACCATACGAAGACGATTAACAGGAGGAGGAGGAGGAGGAGGAGGGAACGGATGAGGCCACTCCTTCGGTTTTTTGTCAACCAACCTGTTGTTGAGCCCTGGTGTTGAAGAGACAGTCCCCGCGTCTCCTCCCCTTTCCTCCTCCCTCTCCTCTACTCCTCCTCCCCCTCCTCCCATCCCTGCCCGTCTCCCCCGCCCAGCACATCGCTTCGTAGCCCCATAGGGAGCGCCACCTAAAGCCCCAGTGGCGGTGTCCACATGCGTCCCCCCCCCCATCCAGCACAACATTTCGTGGCCTCACAGGGAGCTCCACCTAAGGCCCCAGGGCGGTGCCCACATGCGTCTCCCCCAACCCACCATGACGTTTCGTAGCCCCATAGGGAGCTCTCCACCTGAGGCCCCAGTGGCGGTGTCCACATGCGTCTCCCCCACCCAGCACAGCGCATCGTGGCCCCATAGGGGGCGCCACCTAAAGCCCCAACGGCGGTACCCACATGCGTCTCCCCCACCCAGCACAACGTTTCCTGGCCACATCGGGAGCTCCACCGAAGACCCCACTGGCGGTGTTCACACGCGTCACCCCCACCTAGCACAACGCTTCGTGGCCCCATAGGGGGGCTCCACCTAAGGCCCCAGTGGCGGTGTCCATATAGGTCTCCCCCACCCAGCACAACGTTTCGTTGCCCCATATGGCCATAGGGAGCTCCACCTAAAGCTCCAGTTGGGGTGTCCACATCTGTCTCCCCCACACAGCACAGCGTTTCGTGGCCCCATAGGCAGCTCCACCTGAGGCCCCAGTGGCGGTGTTCACATGCGTCTCCCCCGCCCAGCACTTTGTTTCGCGGCCATATACGGGGCTGGACCGAAGGCCCCAGCTGCGGTGTCCACATGCGTCTTCCCACCTAGCACAACGCTTCGTGACCCCATAGGGAGCTCCACCTACGGTCCCAGTGGCAATGTTCACATGCGTGTCCTCCACCCGGCACAGCGTTTCGTGGCCCCACAGGAAGCTCCACATGAGGCCCCACTGGCGGTGTCCACACCTGTCTCCCCCACCCAGCACAACGGTTCGTAGCCCCATAGGGAGCTCCACCTGAGGCCCCAGTGGCGGTGCCCACATGCGTCTTCCCCACCCATCACAACGTTTCGTGGCCCCATGGGGATCTCCACCGAAGGCCCCAGTGGCAAAGTTCGCATGCATCTCTCCCACCTGGTACAACGTGTTGTGCCTATAGGAAGCTCCACCGAAGGCGATACCCACAACTGCAGTACTCACAACTGCATATGCTTTGGTCCTTCGCCAGGCTGATTGTTTTGTTGGTTTTGAGTTTTCTTCTTTCTCGTCCTCTCCATTTCCCTCCTCCTCCTCCTCCTCCTCCTGCTCCTCCTGCTCCTCCCTCCTCCTCCTCCTCCTCCTCCTCCTCCTCCTCCTCCTCCTCCTCCTGGAAGGGTCTCGCTGTCGCCCCCTGCTCTGGCCGAATCCCCCGGGGAGGCCCACAGCTGCGGGTCGCGGTACACGATGTCGGAGCTGTGCCCGTAGCCCGGGTTGAACTCGGGATCGGCCGCGGCCGGGGCTTTGACGTACCTCCGGAGAGCGGTGGCGGCGGCAGCGGCGCCGGCATTCGCTCTTTCCCCTACCACCCTTGTCCAGGAGGGAAGCTGGCAACAGGAGGTTAAGGAGGATGGTGGGGAGGAGGAGGAGCAGGAGGAGGAGGAGGAGGAGGAGGAGGAGGGGGAGGAGGAAGAGGAGGAGGAAGAGGAGGAGGGTTGGGGAGAGGAGGAGGAGGAGGAGGAGGAGAAGAGAGGAGGAGGGGAGGAGGAGGAGGAGGAGGAGGAGAGGAGGAGAGGGAGAGGAGGAGGAGGAGGAGGAGGGAGGGGTGGAAGAGGAGGGGAGGGGGAGAAGGTGGAGAGGAATGAGGAGGAGGAGGGAGGGGGAGAAGGGAGGAAAAGGGAGCACCGAGCGCATGACGGGACGCGCCGAATCAGGAAAACAAGACTGGTATGGACGGATGGACAAGGAAAGCAAAGCGCAGGCGATCACATGAAACAGGCAGCCTGTAATCCTATCATCCTGCACGGGCCGATAAAACCCGCGCAACACGAAAACCCGACCAGAGGGGCTGACCAGGGCAGCACGAGACGGGGACGATCAAACCACCAGTCCTGTCGCAGGAAACTGAACGAGTTGATCACACATTTAGGTGTTTGTTTCATCGGCAAAGCCAAGGCAGGAGGGAGAACCCGCTGCCCCTCAAGTGAAGGGGGATATCCCACACCACGGACCTGGAAGATGAAGCACGAGGCGAATGCAGAGACATCGCCGAAACCGCCGCGCAGCAGGCCTGCACAACAGGCTGTCCTGCGAGCGTGGCCGAAACACCGCCGATCGAAGTCGATCGCGGGGCGAAGAAACCAAACAACTGCAATAGCCCTGGACTCGGGACGAGGGGGAAGGAGGAGGAGAGGAAGCAAGGAACGACAGGCGATTGTTAAACCAGCTGGAGATAGCAACCTCCCCAGGCCCTATCACGCTGGAAGGCGGTAGGGTGTAGTCGCGCGTTCCCCAGCGGAGTGTCCGAGCAGCTCCTCGGAAGCCTCCCGCGCCTCAGCGACCACAGCCAAGACATCTACTTCGGCGAGCTGTTTTATCGGAGTCGCCCCACCCCGACTAAGTTAGCTGCAGCCTCGAAACAAGCGAAGATCAGCGAAGCGGAAAGTTCAAAGTTGGGTGCACGCACTCTCCAACTGCGTCTATACGAGATAATGTTGGGCACAGCGGTGCCTGGCTGGGCGCGTAGCAACACCGCAGCGGCTGGACGGCGAGCCCAGGCCCATGAGACAGCCCGAAGTCGGCCGGCGACGGCCGCAAGATCGCACGCGCGCCTTGCCCATGCAGACCGTGGCAAACAAGCCACGAATTCCGGGAAGTGGGAAGGAGGAGGACAGGCGGATGGGCACGCAACGGTGCAGCCGTGGGGGGGGGACAACAGAGGGGCGGCCAGAGATGGCAATCCCTCCGCTAAATCATATATTAAGCGATGGGAGGCTCCCGCAGGTACACCTCACGACCATCACTCTATACATGGCAGCTGCGCCTCACCACGGAGCTACCCTAGACAAGCGCTGGACACTGGGATACGGAGGCGGAGGAGGGAGGGAGGATGCCAAAACGGCGCAGAGAACCCAAGAGAACTGGCACCTGGAGCACACTGCCCAACTTCACGACGTGCATGGGGGGAGCGAGGAGGAGACAGGCAGAGGAGGCGAAGAGCCGGCCCACCCCGGAGGGGCTAGCCGGAGCTCCGCCTCTGGGAGGCAAGCGAAGGAGGAAGAGAAGAGAGGGGAGAGTCCGAAGCTCCGGAGCATCCGTAGTTGCGGCAGGACGCAGAGACATCGTCGACTGCCGAGGGAGAGGCGGAGGGAAAGCAGTCAGCAGCCAAATGTGGGCGATATCTGCCCAGCGTTTTCGAAGACATCGCTGCCAGAGCAGCCGCCCGAATTTCCGCCCCGTGAGAGCGCCCTCGACGAACGTCTCTGCTGTAGCACGGGCCCTCCGGCCAGCCTGAAAAAATGCACCCTGGCGAGCACTCGGCCACGCGGGTGGGAGTCACTCCAAAAGCGGCGAGCACTCCAAAAGCGGCGAGCACTCCAAAAGCGGCGAGCACTCCAGAAGCGGCGACCACTTCAAAAGTGGGAGTCACTCCAAAATGCACCCTGGCGAGCACCCTGGCGAGCACTCCAGAAGCGGCGAAGGCAGAGTCGGGAATGCCAGGGGGAGGAGGACGACGAGCGGAGGGAGGCGAACGCTCGCCCACTCGAGGCGTCCGGCGGCGGGACGGCGCCCGCGGCGTCGCGGGGCCGCTCCTCCCTTCGGCCAGGACGCGAGGTCATTCGCATGCCAGGGGGGGGAGGGAGAGGGAGGAGGACGACGAGACGAACAACGAGGACGACGAGGAGGGAGGGGGGCGCGGCGTCGCGGGGCCGTTCCTCCGTTCAGCCAGGACGCGAGGTCATTGGCATGCCAGGGGGGGGGGAGGGAGAGGGAGGAGGAGCAGCTCGACCGTAACACCCGACACACGCACTCGTCGGGGAAGCGGGACGGGGTGCTTGCGGCCTTTCTTGGGGTGGCGACCAGAGGCGAAGTTGCCTCTGCGCAGCTTCCTTGGAAGGCTCCCCATCGAAGGCCTTGGGGGCCCTCACGCTCGTTGTGAAGCTGGGGCCCGTAAGCCCGGACTCCGAAAAGACCATCGCGCCTGCATCCCGCCACGTCCCCAGCACGGCACAGCCCACGGCCTCTGGAGGCCCGAGGGGGAACGGTCCCCTCCGCGGGGAGCGCCAGGCTGGGAAGGGCAGCGCTGGCCCGCGAGGAGGCCACGGCCAGGCCGGGGCGCCTCTCCGCGCCGGCAGCGGGCAACAAGGCGGCCGTGGCGTCCCTCACTCGGGTCTGGACGTGCGGCTCGGCATGCACTGGCGGCTGCACACGCCGAGGGGGCCGTGCGAATGCCTCATCGCCCTCATCCTCAGGCCTCCTATGTCTTGCCCGCGAGCCGAAACCTCGGAGTCGGGCGAGGAGAAGGAGGAGGAGGGTCAAGAGGCGAGGGGGGGAGGGGGGAGGAGGCCCGCGAAGCACCTTCCTCCTGGAGTCCTCACGCGCCTGTTCTCCAAGCTCGTCTTGGGCATCCAGGGCCTTTTGTTTCTTCTCTCCAAAGCAACATGACACCACAGATGAAGACAAAACGCGTCTCGAATGCAACCTCTTTGTTGCTCCATACCGAGCACTCCATGCCCCTGGACCCCTTTCGAAGCAGGGAGCAACAGAACACGGGTGGCACTACATATAAAGAATAAAGCGCGTCTCAAGTGCAACCTCCTTGTTGCACCATGCCGAACACTCCATGCCGGGCATCCAGGGCCTTTTTGAGACTCGGACGAGGCACCTGGGGAGAGCTCCGCGGGACCTCCAAGGGGCTGGACGTGAACTCAGGGGCCTGAGGCTTCGAGGGGTGATGCACAGGACAGACCTCGAAGCGCGTGCGACGGCGCCCAGCTGTGGTCCGCGCGAAGCGCTGACATCATAGCCATTGCCAACCTCCTGCGGGACCAGGCCCAGGTTCGCGCAGGCGCTGGCTCACCGTCAGCGCTGGCTGCTGTCGGGTAGGTCGTGGTTGACGTAGTCGGCGGCGTCGTGGTCTGCGTGCTGGTGGCGGCTGTCGGTCTGCATTTCCAGCCGGCGTAGTAGACGAGCCAATCCAGCACGCAACCTGTCGCGCAACATATATCATGTTGGCGTGCAGGTGGATGACCTCCGGCGGCAACGCGTGCATGGCCAGTCTTCCCTTAGCCGCGACATCCGGGTAGTCATTGCCTTTCTTGTCTGGGGTTGCCTCGCCCTGTGTCTGATGTGAACGGACAAATGAGACCTCCAAGTGCGGGGATAGGCCTCCGTGGTCATCAATTCCATACTTGTTGTTGGGCCTCCTGGGATGTGTGCACTAGGTCGCTCCCTTCATGAGGCCTTCCGCAGTGCAGAAGCAGTCAGTGCGAATCTGCATGGGCACGATTCGATTCCGCAATACTAGAACAACTGCGTACAGTTCAGCACGTGGGACAGGTTGCTGATGTCCTGGCAATGGGCCGTATGCTATGCCGCGTGGGGCCTGACCCGCCATCATCGCGATTCCCATCCCTGCTCGGTTGGCCTCAGGCCACCCAATAGGAGAGTGTCCAGAACCATCCGTTTAGATATCTCCCGCCAGCAACGCAGATTCTCCGCCATGGGCAAATCCCCACACCTCTGTCAGACATGGGGGTGGGACCGTTTTGGCAGAGCATCTCTCGGCATCAGGGCCCGCGCGAAGAGCACGTCGGCGTGGTGCGAAGCACGCGCAGGCTGGATGATGTCCCGCGCTCTTGCTGGAGGAGAGGGCAGGACCAGGAACGATGATGAAGCGTGCCTGGACAGTCTAGGCAGCGCTGGCAACGGCATCTTCGGCATATCCGTATTGCTTCAGCTTCGCCCGGGACCGTTGGCCTCCAATGACAGCATGTCGCAGGGAAGCCCTAGCCCGCTCAGGAAGATACCATTTTCTTGGCCAGCTCTCCCTGCGCGAGAAGTAGTTCCAGTGGTGCCATCCAGTATCCACGCGGACGGCGCGCGGCCGGTTCAACTGCTGGCGCGCGATCTTTCTGACGGCTCCATTCCTCAAGCCTCGCGTTCACAAAGTCACGTCGCGCCGACGTTCCGATCCAGTCAGGACTGTCCATAGTGAATTCTAAGGGCGCTCCATCACGCGTGACCCATGCAGTCGCCGTCGTAGCGCGCCAGTTGAGCAAACCAAGGGCCGCCAAGACTGTCCCCGCAGGGTCTGCGATATCTGCGTGCTTGGGGATCGGTCCTAGAATTTGGCGCTGCTGCAGACATGAACTGTCGAGCGCGTCGCTGAGCACCTCAGGGCCCTGCGCCGGCGGCGCCCATGTGCACGGAGGCCCCGCAATGGCCACGGTGCTCGTAGGAGCGGGGCTGAGGCTGCGCCGCCAGCCAGGTAGATGTGCCAGGAGGGGTCCGTCGCCATCCGACTCTGGCCACGTTGGCCACTGGCCTGAGCAGCTTCTTGGCGGCGCCGGCGGTCTGGATGCCGTGCTGCATGGCTGGGGCGAGTGCAAGGCTGAGCCACCGCCCTCCCGATCTTGGCAACTCTGCGCAAACTTCTGCACCTGGGGAGTCGCTCGCGTGTTTTGAGCGCCCGCGCGCGCGTGTGGTAGAGAAACCCAGCTCGTGGCCGCCTCCGGCTTCCATGCCCGCTACTTCCAGGGCCGCGCAGGGTCGGGATCTACGTCGATGCGCCTGCCGTGCGACCTGCCGCGCGATGGCGAAGTCTAAGAACTAAGAGCTTATGAGTAGTTTAATCCTGAAGCTCTCAAAATCGCCCTTCCGCGACCCCTTATGCCGCCCCCTATTTCGGCGCACCCCTCGCGCAGATTCTCGGCCTCGGAGTGCCAGGAATGGCGTTCTGGGAGGAGATGCTGCCATCGGAATGCCAGACGTGGCGTCGTTAGCCCTGTGCGAAAGGCGCGGGCGCGACCTCGATCCTTTCGGGTTGAGCGCCGCCCCCGTGCCCTTCCCCAGGGGCCGCCCTGTGGAGGCTGGACGTGGCCACCTGGGTTTCCGAGCGGCTATGGCCGCCCCGTTGCGCTGACACTCCGCGGCGCGCTCAAGCGCCACGGAGCCGGCGCGGCCGGGCGGCCGCAGCCGCCCAGAAGCCCCTCTCCCTCGGGAGCCTCTCGCCGAGAAGCTCCCGGAGGAAGGCGCAGCTGCGCCTCGTCGACGCCTTCCTGGGGGCGCCGCGGTGGGCGGCGGTGGTGAGCGGCGCAAGCCGGGTCTCAACGCATCGCTACGATTCCGCCGTGACGCGGTGGAGGGCTCGGCCCAGCGCCAGCGACGCGGTGTGGAGACAACGTCGTCGGTTTTTGAAATCAATATGTCTTGGGTCATGGGTGGGTGGGACACGTCCAACAGGCTGCGAGTTTGGGCTAGTGGGCCCTAAACCCTGAATCTCTAATCTTATGATTATTAAACCCTGAACATCCTGGCCCCATGCGCCCCTATGGCATCCGAACTCCTGCACCCTGCCATCCCTTGCCAAAACATATTATTTCCTGACAACCCCCGGATGTAAACCGGCACCACCCCTTGCAAAACACAGTATTTCCTGATCATGCGTGCTGTAGACCCTCGCCATCCCTTGCAAAACAAGACTACTTCCTGATAGCCCCCGGATGTAAACCGGCACCATCCCTTGCAACAGATACTCGCCATCCCTTGCAAAAGCTATTATGTCCTGATCATGCGTGCATAATCCATTGCGATTCACA